TACACATAATATCAGTTATGAACAGCCTGGGAATGGCCACAGAAACAGGGCAAGGAACCATTTGAAAGGATTAGATGCCAAATATTTATATTTACATGATAGCCTATATTCCCACCAAGCCTGTAAAAGTTGAATTTGTAATGCATGACTTAGTAGGAAACATACTCCTTCTATATCTTTGGAAGAAGAATGAGTACCTTGGTAGGTGAAACCTCTTTTAACTTTTCTGCTTTCAAAGTATGTACAAAAATATTAACTTGTAAAAAATGCTCTGATTAGCAAATAATTAAAGACAAGGATTTTTAAATTGCAATTTCAGGGCATATACCTTTGGCAGTACCACTTTCCATATTCTTGGCATTTATTTGCTTAAGTAAAAATGGTATGATTTTGGCATTGTTTAGGGCAAATTTTCTAGCTTATAGCATATCTAATGCTCAGTGAAAGACAATAAAGGGTGAATTCTTATGTCTAGTTTAATTGCTTCATTGTTGATCTCTTTGCCACGGGAGAATGAACTCGTAGCCTTCAGTGTGGAACGTTCTCTCCTTTTTTCCACAGGGTGCAGTGCAATCTTTAGCAGTTCATAGTGCAGAGATTTGGGAGCAAGAAGATCTGAGTTTAGTGTCATCTGTCCACAGTGATATTTATTGGGATGCCCATTGCACCATCACATTCCTGTGGTCAGATTAAGCTGTCACAATTGAGTCCTCTTTCATTCCATTTCCACCCCCAAGGCTCCTTCAGGACCAGGAATTCTCAGCTCCCTCCATGCCATCTGCTCTTCCCACCTCATACCTGTGGAAGGTAGACTCTGTGAGCTGCAAACTCTCAGCACTATGCTTTCTTTTTTTTTTCTAACAAAGAGATTAAAAGTACTGTGAATCCTCTTTATTGGTGGACTACATATTTACAAGTTCACCCACTCCTAAAATTTATTTGCAGTGCCAAATCAATACCTGTAGCCCATCTATTGTCATTTGATCTAGAGAGTGGGTAAATATTTGAGTCACCTAACATGCACATTCCCAGCTGAGTTCCAACAAGGCACCGTTCATTCTGTTTTCTTGTTTTAGTTCTCCAGCAGTATAAGCAAGTATTTTTTCATGGCATATCTGGTGCCAATGCCTTTTGCATTTGGGGGCCCAAAATGTAGTGCTGAAGTATTGTTTCATGCTCCTAAACACAAGAAGATTTTGATGTGCCTTAGAGAGAAAATTCCGTGTATTTGGTAAGCTTGTACAGATCTGAGTTATAATGCTGTAAACCATGCATTGAAGGGCAACGAATACACAGTATATAACAAGAAAAAGTGCCTTTAAATAAAATCACACCTAAAAAGACTCTGTGTTGGTAATTTGCTCAAAATGATGTGAGCAGAAGCTTGTAGGTACTTTGCCATATATTTGCTTTAGGAGCAATGGTTTTATTTTTTACTAATTCATTCTTAGTGGAAACTTTATAACACATAAACTGAAAATAACTAGTCATACCTTCCTCAAAGATTGTCATGAGGATCAAATGTGTCAGTATCTGCCACGCACTTAGAACAGTGTCTGGCACCCAATAAGCTCATCTATCTAGATCCACTGCACACCCACTCCTTCCTGGAGGTCTGATGACCTCCCTGAGGCCTGACCAGGTAATGAGGCAATGGTGTCCTCTGCTCTTGGATCTCCCAAGCTGTCTGCTCTCCACCATGTACCCTCCAACCCCAGCAAGGCCCATTGAGAAGGAGGGTCACCACTGCCTAATGCATTCACCAACATTGTGCACCCACCTTGAATGCTATGCCTCATCTGGGAAGCCTTGTAGATAAACCACATTTTCTACTGAACCCCCGAGCAGTGCCTTTGGAATCACAGGGATTCTGAAACTGGGAAGCCAGGAAACACTTGTTTCTCTGATTTCTTCTGTCACATCCTTCCCCTAAAGCAATGAGGCTTCTTGATCTGGCCACAATGTGAAGAAAGGGCCCAAAGGGAGAAGGAAATACTGAGATTAAAAGTAGGAAGAAAAAAAAGTGGGGAACATTTAAAATAATCTTACCAGCCTTTAAAACATTTTTCTTCTTTGTAAATTTAAATAAATATCAGGCTAGTACCATAAAAAAAGAAGACGAAGAGAAAGAAATATCAGCTTAGCTTGCGTGTTCCCTCTGTGACTGCATCACATGTATCTCTGATTGATTTTCCTTGTACTCTCAGAAGGCAGGGGTCATATCTATCATGTTCACTGATGTTTCCCAAGCTTCCATCACAGTTCCTTGTGAGAGCAGGTGCTGTATCAATGTCCATTGATAAACTAATGGGGTGAAGAATACACACACCCAGGTACTTATGTTAAGTTTTTGAGGATTTAGTATTTATATGGTGGGCATAGGTATAAGCCATACTTAATTTGACACTTTCATTGCTATTTTCTGAAGTGCAGAAAATAATCAGAATTATCTTCTTGTGAAGATCCATGGCAACACAGGAGATCTTTAGTCTGTCTTCCTTTGGGCATAAATTAACCAGCAGGGAACTGATAGCTTTAGTGACTCGAGCTGCGTCACCTCCAGTGTTGAGCTGGCTAACACCACACACCTGATGCAGTGAGGCACTGACTGGCACATGGTTAAATACAGACACTGACTTGGATATTCTTTTGTGTTCTCGTTCTATTAGATTCCTTGGTCCTGAAAACCTCCTCATTTCCCATTTGATCTATGGTAGTTTTGGACTGAAGAAAAAATGATTTACATATTTCTATGCACTTGGATTTCTAGGATGAGCTGTTGTTTAAGTTGTAGCATAAGCTATGAAAAATGACATCTGTCTGCTGAAGCCATTCATTCTTCCAAGGTTATCTCTGGTCTGAGTTTGTCAAGACAGCCTGGCTCTGTGAGGAAGAGCCAGCTGAGCCTCTCTGGGCTCCTCTTTGTAAAGGCCTGTTGGCTAATGTGGTAGGAGACATCTTCTGGGTAGTCTGACTTGTGTCTTGTCTAATAGCTTGAAGATTGATGCCAGGGGCCCAAAAGAGGCTGATGTCAGCAGGAGGGATAACCACAGTCTGAAGGTAAATGTGGGAGGTGGCAAATTATTAAAATGGTTAGCCCTTGTTGCAGCTAACATGACTAGGCTTTGCTTGGAAGATTATTATGGAAGATAAAAATCTTTAGGTTAAGTAGAGGAAGCAAACAATGAATTTCCATAGCCCTGTATTGGCTCTTGGTATATACAACTCTGTAAATCGATAAAACTTGAATGTTTCCTTCCAGCATTTAAATATTGTGTTAGATGAATTTCCTCAGTGGTCCACTATCCTTTCCAGGCGTATCATGTTGTACTATTGGGACTGGTAGCTACATTTCACAGTAGTTTGGGACACACAAAAGGGCATTCCCCCCAACACACTTAAGGGAAGACAATGGCTTTTGTCAAGATTTAAGTCAACTATTTAATGAAGAAACAAATGGCCAAGACACAGGATTGATTTCAGTCAGAACTTTTCAACCAGGGGTCCTTTTAGACCCTCTCCCAAGGACATTGGTCTAGGGACTGTTTTGGTTAACATAACAGGTAGAGGAAGGGGAGCATTTTAACACATTCTTTTTGGTTAACTGCTAGACTTGACATGTGACTCTGACAGCTTCTACATTTCCACAGGTGAATAAAGAATGTCATGTGTTATGATGTCCAGAGCTACCACAAGTCCCAAAACTCCTCTGAATCAATGACAAAGTGTGGCTGGCTCAGGAATTTCCCCTTCATTTCAGGTCCTGCCCAGCTTCACCATACTTGTCATTTATAGTTTTATGCATTTGCACATCACCCATGGCTAGACCATGTGTTCTTTGCTTCCAGAGAACATATTTCTTCATTGCACCCTATTAACCTCAGTCTTCCAAAATTCTGCCTAAAACACATCAATTCCCAGGTCATAAAACTGATGCTTAATTTTTGGCACCCAGTACTTAGACTGTTGGCCATCTATAAATAGTTTCCATATGAAGTTCCAACTAGCAAGAATGTGAAGTGACCCAAATCATTTATTCTCCCACTATTCTGGATAAATTAGGACTCATAGAACAAAGAGCTAGTTTTGTGTTTTGGGGAGTCAACTTTATAGAAGTTTCAGTGTTTAGAATTAGAGATAGGAACTCCTTGAGTTTTGTCTTTATCTGGGAAATAAAATGGAGACATCAATCACAAGAAAGAATAAAAACTAATCTGTTCAGGTAGATAACTCATGTTTGGTAAAGCAAGCTGGGAAGTTGACATTGAAATGTTTTTAACAGCAGGATCAGCCCTACACTAGGTTATGGGTAGTGCTTCAATTCCCTGGACATGCTCCCACCTCTTGGTATGTCCCCTTCAGTGACCTTAGAAGTCACTGACACTTCACTGGCAGAAACATCTGAGTAGAACACACTTACTTTGGAGCTGAGTAGTGTAACATCTTCCTCTACTCAGGAGACTTGTACTTTAAATCAAGGACTCAAGAGAATGAATCACTAATAATGGATTTCAAATATTAGATCATAGGATAGGATCGATTTTGAGGAGCCCTGCCTCAGTGTCCCTCCAATGGCACTGTGATTAAGCATGAAAAAATAAAGCAAGAACCAAAAAACTTTAGGTTGGAGTCTTATGGTATGATGATGGGATTTTAAAAAACTCATTCTTAAGCTTTTGTTTTCATTATTTCTATAGCTATCAAGTATGGACAAGTACCCAGAACTTCTATCAAGAAAGGAAGGTAGCTCTCAAGGCTGTTTGATCTTTGCAAACTAGCTTGTATCATTTTAAGAAGCTTAGTAATAAATAAGTAACCATAAGACATTTTAGTTTTATTACTTCCTGGAATTGGTTTCCTTTGGGACTCTTTCAGAAAATTAAAAAACAGCCCAGAGAATGCAGTTTGGAAAGGTCACGGTATCTCTGGTGGTAGCAATTTACTGAAAAGGAAGATGCTTGCTAAATATGCTAATTCAGCTCTTTTTTTTTTTTTTCCAGGTGTTGGTGGTGCCCTGGGTTACCTCTTGGGTGCCATAGACTGGGCCCATCTGGAACTGGGAAGAGTGCTGGGCACAGAATTTCAAGTCATGTTCTTCTTCTCTGCCTTGATGCTCACTTTGTGTTTTATTATTCATCTGTGCAGTATACCTGAAGCCCCACTTAGAGATGTTGCAAAAGACATTTCCCCACAGCAGGCCCCTCAAGACCCTTCATTGTCATCAGACAGAATGTGCAAGTATGGTTCTACTGAGAAAGCTAAAAATGGTTATGTAAATCCAGAGCTGGCAATGCAGGGAAGAAAAAACAAAAGTCCAGCTGAACAGGTAAAGATACAGATTCTCTTTCCTTTACTTGGATCTTCTTTCCTTTTCTTTTTTAAAAATTCATTGTTTTGTTTGATGTCAAGAGTTTTGTGAAGTCTAATTGAATCTTCAAAATCCTGATAGCTAGTATCACTTGGAATTAAAATTTGTACCTTCAAGAAAAATACATGCATTTTCCTCTGGTCCTCTTGTCTCCTACTCTTTTCAGAACTTGAAATCAGGAGAGATGAGGCCATTTGTGAAAGATTAGGCCATGTGAAAAGTCTGAAAACATCCTCAGTCCTGAAGAGTTCCTTGGTTGCATTAGCCACATTTCATAAGCTTAAAATCCCTTACTGTTCACAGCGTCCAAGTTCAGAACCTTCTGCAACTAAAAAAAAATTCTCTTGGGCAACATTGATGTTGCAACTGCTTCCTTCAAATTGAGTTTAAATATCAGCTCTTTTGTGATACAGTAGAAAGAAAAGAAAAGAAAAGAGAAGAGGAGAGAAGAGAAGAGAAGAGAAGAGAAGAGAAGAGAAGAAAAAGAAAAGAAAAGAGGTTGCCAAGGTCAGGTGAAGCATGGTCCATAGAGGGCTAGATAATATGAAGACTGGGTAAATCCTTTGGATTTGGCAATTAGGAGGCTGTATAAAAACTTGAAGGTATCAGTTGAGGAGCTTTGTAGTTTGAAAGACAAATTGTGAAAGGGATTGAGGAAAAACTCAGTCAAAAATTTGAGACAACTAGTGAGTATAGCAGAGATAAAAGTTTCTATGAATGATCAAAATTGTTGTGTAGTGAATGAGGCATGGATTTTGGAAGAGTCAAGTCAGAGTTTCAGTCATGGCCCCCAAATGAGTTAAGGTATAGGTGACTAGCTTGCAATGGTCTATAAAAGATACAAGTCATTTCTCTTCTCCTATAAAGGTCAAAATAAATGGTTCTGGGCTGATCTAATATTCTATGAGGGACCTGGATTAATTCTATTTTGTTGTTATTTTGCACATGGAGCTTTCATTTTGAGTTTCAAGATGACTTCATCAGTTATTACTATTATGTCTAAATTTCTGTGAGCAGAGAGGAGAAAAGGAAAGGGTGTGTTCCTTTCCTTTATGGACACAACTCAAAAGTTGAAGCAAATGTGACTTTTGCTTACCTACTTAGACAAGTGGCCAGAACTTATTCAGATGTCCATGCCCAGTTCCAACTCTGATGATGACTATAACAAGTGGGAACCCAGCTGAAACGTCTATGACCTGTGAGAAAGGGAGCAAGCACTGGGGCCATTTGTTAGTCTCTGATAACTTGCTAACTTCTCATTCTGATACTTAGGTGACCTTTTGTATTTTAACCCACAGAGTTCATTTTTTAAAAAATCTGCAAGTTGAAGACAACTGTTGTCCTTTATACAGAGTTTATAAACTTTAAATACAATATCAAAGGTGAAAAAACCTAGTCTGGTGATTTAGAAATATTAGTTGTTGTATAAGTCTACTCCCAGTCATAAAGCATCACAGATTCAAAATTAAAATCCAGGCAAGTTTGATGTGCTGAGGCAGAAAATGTTTTTAATAATTTAAAATAATACAAAGGATTACCAAATATTTTCAGATGAATGAAGTTTTATTGCACACAGTCCTCCTTTATCTTGTCCTTTTGGAGATCGTTATTTACTTCCGAAGACTCCATCTTTCTTTCTCTAACCACCTGGATTCAGGGCTCCTCCTATTGTCCTTTCTACTGTGATATTCATCCCCCTGTTGGAGGCTTTTAACTTTCTGTGCCTGTTTGTTAATTTGTATCTTCCTCACCCCATGCCAAGGGAATCCCTGGAAGAGGTGGTCTCTGGTCCCTTTCCATTCCTGGCATTTATCTCAGTGCTTGGCACACAGGAAGCTAGCAACAAATTTTCTGTAAGTGGTTTGTTGAATGAATGTGGCAAAAACAGTCATGTGGAATATAGGTGTCAATGGAAGTTGTTTGGGTCAATAGTAAGAATTATCAGAATCAGTAACATTGTATATATGGTTTGTTCATTTATTCATTCAATAACTATTAATAACCACTGCTGGGCCCCCTGCTGAGTAACAGGAGATTGTAGGAATCAAGACAGACTCTGTTCCTTCCCTATAGAGCTGTTCTCTTGCAAAGGCATGTTGCTTTATTTTCTTTTTTTTTCTTTTTTTGGTACCTGGGATCAAATTCGGGAGCTTGCACTTGTGAGGCAGGCACTGGAACCACTGAGCTAAATCCCCAGCCCTTTATTTTCTTAATAAATCTTTAATTTAAATAATTTTAGGTTTACAAAAAAGTGACAAAGATAGTACAGGTTTCTTGCCTACCTTTCTTTAACTTCTCCCTCATGATAACATCTTAAATAATTATGCACATTTGTCAAAACTAAGAACTTAGCACTAGTACAACACTATTAAAATAATTAAACAGCAGATTATTTGAATTTCTTCCATTTTTCCACTAATGTTTTTTTTTTCATGATCCAATCTAGGATACCATATTGCATTTAGCTAAGTGGATTTTGAAATTTGGAAGCTGTGCTTTGTAAAATGTTATTTTAAGAAAATATTTTTGCTGCTTATGGTCAGTAGAAAAACCTCACTTCTGTTTATTCAATTATGTGCATGAATAAAAACAACAAAGCTGTGAGTTATGAAAGCCTACTGTAACTAGTTTTTTCAAGGTTAAGTTTTTCCTCAAATATTGTTTGCTCCATTCATTTACTTAGTATGTTTTTCAAAATTAATGCAGAAGTAAACCTCAATATTGCATGTGGGTTGACTGAGATAACACTTCAGTTACCAGCCTGCTTCCACGCAGCCACCTGATAGAAGAATACAAAGAGAATAAACTTCTGTTCATCTAATCACACCCTCATCCCAGCTATTTTAGCACGAGTACACTGTTTTTGTAACAGGAAAAGCACAAAGAAGAACAAAGAAGTCATTGCAATGAAACTTTCCTTTTATCCTGATCACAGGACAGATAGAGAAAGCAGAAGCATTTAGGTCTCCTGGGACCCGAGCCCACCCACCTTTCCCTATAGCAGGTTTCCTGGGGAGAATACCTGGACTCCCTTCCCCTGCCACTAACAAATCAGGTCTCTAGTATGACTAGTTAGACTGGAGCCCACTTGTGTAATTCTGCAAACCAGCAGGGACGTTGTGAAACATCCACATGAAAAGTGTGCTTTTTCTAATGGTATTTTAAGAAAATATTTGTGTTGTTTCTAGTCAGTAGAAAACCTCATTTCTGTTCATTCAAATTGTGTGTGTAAATAAAAGCAGCAAATCTTAGCTGCTAGTTATAAAAATCTGTAAATTGTTTTCCTAAGGTTAAGTCTCCCTCAAATATTGCTTGCTCTATTCATTTGCTTAGCATTTCTTCAGCATTAATGCAAAAATAAACCTCAACATTGTGTGTGTGTGTGTGTGTGTGTGTGTGTGTAGTCTGGCAAAAGGGAATATATAAAATTATTACAAAAGGTGTGCGTGTTTTTGAAGAGTTTTGTAAAACATAATATGTCAAGTAAAACACATATACATACATAAAATAATCTTCATTTGGGGAAAAACTTGTATGGATAAAAATGGAAAGGAAATATATCAAAATGTTTATTGTCAAATATATGTCATTCTTTCTCTGTATAGTGGTTTAACAGATGACTTTAATTTTCTTTTAAAGAAAAACCTTGCAATAGATTCAAAATTTCTGTAACAGACATAAAAAGAAAAAAATGATAAAATAATGAAAAAATGTCATGTTTAAGGAACAAAATAAAATGAAGCCTTACTAACAATAAGTTGATATTATTCCTATAGAATATCTGCCTTTTGACTACCCCTTTGTTAAATTATGATTCATCTCAAAGAATCATCCAGCCTAGGACATACTTTTCCCCAGAGGCTGTGGTGAAGATCAAATGAAATGAAGTGAGTGCAAGACTTTTAAAAGGCATAAAACTTCTGTTCCAGTCACCACTCATTTTGACAGATAACATATTCTACGTACGGAAACAATTCCAAGGGAATGATTATATTTTTTAATACTAAGTATAAGAAAATTAATATAATCAGCAATTGGCTAAGTGCTATAAGATTAATGAATTCATTTAAATGAACAATAGACATTTATTTCTTATAGTTTAGGAGGTTGGGAAGTCCAAAATCAAAGTACTGGTCACTTCAGTGTCTGGTGAGGATCTGGATCCCTGCTCACAACATGGTCCCATTAGGCCCTTACACCATATCCTCATCTGAAGGAAAAGTGGGCAGGTTAAAGGGTTAAGCTAGTTCCCGCTAGGCCTTCTATAACCTTTAAGGATTGATAGTTTTAAAATACCAATTTATACAAGAAATGTAAAATGGAAAATTCTGAGGGTTTTTGCAATAAAGAAGTAAAAATCATTACAGTATAATGTAAAGAGTTGTAAAATGATTTGCAATTATAATTAGAATAGAAAATCTCAGGAGACATAAATAAACTAGCTGGAGTCAATTTCATCATATCAAGATTCAGAATAAATAAAAATCTGACCAGAAAGATCCATCACCCCACCATGATTGATGTTCATACTCTCAGTGCTATCAGGGAAGATGACTGATTAGTATTCCATGGTCTCTTTTTTTTCTTGTATGACAAGATGTTAGAGCCTATTGCATTCTTTGTTTCAAAATAGTTGTGCCAACAGTTTAAAGTTTCCCTTCCCCTCAAGTTTTTTGAAACAAAAATATAATTGTAGTCTATAGTTTTAACACAATCTAACTCTAAATTAAAGAATTTGTGGAAAGTGCAGTCATTTATATGTGTATATGTGTTCACATTGTTCTACCTTGTTGATATTTTAACCTGACATAACACATATCCACTATTAACAGGATCCAGAGAAATGAACCGAGAGGAAGGAGGTACCTGGATAAGGGCAGTTTTCTATTATTGCATAAAAAATTATTATAAACTTAGAGCCTAAAACGTCCTTTAATTACCTGACTGTTTTGTAGGTCAGAAGTCTGGGTGGAATACAATGGGTTCTCTGCTTAGGGCCTGACAAAGTAGAAATGAAGATGTAAGCAGTGTTGGGTTCTCATCTGGAGACTCAACTGGAAAAGAGCCTGTCCTTAAGTTCACTCTGGTTATTGGCAGGATTCAGTTCCTCGTAGTGCTGGACTTGCAAGGGTTCATGTGATTCAACAAGGATCATACAATTAATCTTTTGATGAACTCAAGGCCAATCAGCAACCTTAATTGTATCTACAAAATCTCTTTGCCATGTAAACGACCATAATCATGGGAGCAGCAAGGGGACAGAGATCACAAAGGCCATCTCGGATTTGACTGACCATGCTCTCTGAGTTAAGAAATCTAAGAACTATAATCTCCTGATGGTTGGCTCAGAGCTGTGAGATTTGACCTTGTGCAGCAGTATCATTAGCCCCCAAAGGGTCTAATAAATTATTCATCTGGACTCCTTTCTGATCTCATGAGGTAAGGGGGCTATTTGCTACTACCTTTATTTTTGTAAGAGAAACACATTTTCCACACATAAGATAGGATGCTAGATGTTTCTTACATCTTGGCGTGTAGCTAGCACCATTTCCAGTATCATCACAAAAAGCCTAGTCTGGGCCTGAAACTGCTATGTAACTGTCAATCTTACTGAACAGAACACCTCCTCTAAGTCTGTTCTATGGAAATTTAGGTGCTATGCCCAGGAAAAGGGACTCTGGGTGGTGGCCAAATGACAGATATGTAACATGGCTATGTGATCTGACTCCTGCCACTGGCTGAAGGTCATACCTCTGTTTCATGTTTCATTCCAGGCGCAGAGGGTAATGACCATGAAGTCACTCCTGAGGGCACTGGTGAACATGCCTCCCCACTACCGCTGCCTTTGTATCAGCCACCTCATTGGATGGACTGCCTTCCTGTCCAACATGCTCTTTTTCACAGATTTCATGGGCCAGGTAAAGAACAAGCCTGTGCACATACTTAATGATTCACACATCAGTCCTTCAATCAATGCCTTCTAGGCTGGCTTCTAGAACATAGTAAAGTATTCAGTATACTCCATACAGTTCAATATTGTAAGAGTATAGGAAAGAGTACCTTTAAGAGCTAGTTCACAGACAAGTTTTGGAAGCAAGTGCTATACCATGTCTAAGTAGAGGACATCACAAGACCTCTATGAGTACTTGATTAAATACAACAAATAGAGACAAACCAATAGAAGCTATAGAGATCAAGGCAGGCCTCATAAAGGGCCCAGCATGATCTGGCCTTGAAGGGTGAGTGGGATTTGCAGAAATGTAGAAGGGGAAGAACACATTCCAAACAGGAAGAGAAATGGCATGTGTAGAGGTGAGTCAAAAGCCTGTTTGGCTACACCAGAAGAAGGGTGGAAGGACTGCCTACCACAGGTGAACCCTAATGGAACAGGAATGTTAAAGATCCAGGGGAATCTTTTTAGACTTGAAGCATAGGCATGAGACTTCCTGAAGGTCCTGGAGGGGGTGTGATTGGAAGAAAGTGGTGATTTGACCATTAAAGAATGAGCTCTGTGCCCTAGGAAGGGCCCCTTGGGGAGCTACATGTTTGTTGCTCTTCACAAGGGCGGAGAAGCAGAGTGCATGAGGAGTCTCTGCCAGATTGCACTTGTACCTCAATAGCCCTTACCCTGTCTTTCAGATTGTGTACCGTGGGGATCCCTATAGTGCGCACAACTCCACAGAGTTTCTCATCTACGAAAGAGGGGTCGAGGTTGGATGTTGGGGATTGTGCATCAACTCTGTGTTTTCTTCACTTTATTCTTGTAAGTCTTCCACTCCTCAGGGTGATTTTTAAAGGTCTCTGGTCTAACAGAATCAAGATTTTGTATTTCTGCATCTATTTTCTTTTTTTAATAACATCAGATTTGTGACAAATATATGAATGTCAGGAAAAACTTAGAAAACACTACAGGAAGTATTCTTTCTCATAATGAATTCTAGGTATCATTTCCCTCAATGATTACTTTGTGCTTGAGGACTCAGTGGGTTCCTTATCAAAGTTTCCTGGAAAAATAAAAGAGAACTTTTTAAACACAATGATGAAGTAAGTGTTGGATTGTTGAGAGATAGCATCCCAGCAGGTCCATGTTTTACTGGAGCAGGATCACTAGTGGTGTTTCAGAGATATGCTTATCAGATTTGCAGATGATGCAAAACAGAAAGGATTGATAATACATCAGGTGACAAGGCCATCATATAAAATAACCTTGACTCTGATGTTTCCAGACCTGTGTTATGGAACCACTGTCCCAAGATGGAGAACAACTTCTCAGGTGTGAGCTTCCCATGAGGTCTGAGCCTCTTGATCCTTCAGTTGGTTGAGTTTCCACTTTTAGAACGTGGGATACTGGGATTTCTGCCATTGGTTTTAAAGAAGTCCAAACTTTGGTGCTACAGCTCTAGGGCATCACACAGGTGCAGTGTGTGCTTGCTAAGTTTATGGTGAGCTCCAGGCTCTATGTACATTGAACCAAATGAAATGTCTACCGTGAAATATTCAAGCAGGTCCTCTGGGGTGGAAATTTGGATCCTAATAACAATGAGATCTTCTCATGGCTCTTTGCTCCTCCAGGGCCTGGAGAAGAAAAGCTGATCCTCAACTCAGAGCTCCAGGTTTTGCATAGACACAGGGGCAGCAGTGGGATGGTCCAGGTTGAGGAAGAGGAAAGAGATGGGAAGAATCCTTGTTACCATTCCCAGGGAGACACACTGTCATTCTTATAGGGGGAAAAGGTTGAATCTTCCCCTGCTCTTCACCTCCTGATAGCACAACAGGAAACTTGCTTCCATATTACTTCAAAATATACTACAATTAGCAGGATGGGCCCTAATATAACATATAGGTAACTAAGGAGTCCAATAATCATAAAGTCATTACATTTATTATTTTGAAATTTATGACAATCAAATAGTGGTAGCTTAAAGCTTACATTTCTTTACAAACACTTTTCTTCCCCCTGGGAGTGTGTGAACTAAGAAAATTCCAGGAGGAACATTCCAGTACTTAAAATAGAATTGGAAAGTGACAGACCAAAAGGGTCTAATAAATTATTCATCTGAATTCCTTTGTGATTTCATAGGGTAAGGGAACTATTTACTATCACCTTCATTTTTATAAGAGGAACACATTTTTTCACACATAACGAGTATTTTAACTTTGTGTCAATTTTCTTTGTCTCTTCAAGAACCTCTACTAGGTACCATTTGATTAGTCTAGCTTGAATTCCTATATGAATTTCATAACATTTGAATATTTAAAAGCATATATTTAGGCCCTTTCTCATTAAAAGCCCTGTGTATGAGATAAACTATTATTTAAACAGTCTTCTAAACTTTACTGATGTATACATCTATGAGATCCTTACCATTGTAAATTCAAACCAAAATTTTATTTATAAAAGGCCAGCCAGCCCAGCCATCTCTCCATGTCTGCAGGACAAAGTCTATGTCCTGAACTTAGCATTTAAATATTTTCAGATTGGCTTAGTTCACTCTTTGAACTCTATTGCCTGATGCAAATTAACCACCCTAATGACCTCCTGCATGGACTTTCTCATCTCTATGAATTTGCCAGTGCTTTTAATTTTTTTTCTACCTGGCTTCTTCTTCTATTTCTCCACCAACATAATTCCTAAATATGTCTTTTAACAAGCCTTAAATATTACTTTCTTTATGAAATCATTCAAGATTTTCCCCGTACCCTAGTCCACCCTGGCCAGAATCTGTCATTTCGGTCACTTCTAGAGCACACTCTGTTGCCCTTTGTTTTGGATTCATCAGATGCAGATCCAGTATCTCTATTTAATGTAGCTCAGCAGGGCAGCCTTGAGGTTGGGGAGGGATGTGGTGATAAGGGACTTTTGTTTTTTCAAGCTCCTTTTGCATAGCAAGCCACATTTACACCAATCGGAATAGCAATCTTAATTGTTCTTAATGGACACTAGTATTTATGGGCAATGATTAAATCAAGAATTTCCCTTCAACTCTAAGGAGAAGACTGTGGAAGGAGATGGCTACCTGTGAATATCAGACCTATCAGAGGACATTCTATGTTTGGCCTTGAAATTTATTGACTTCTCTCCATAAATAGAGCAATTCTTGGTCAGACTCGCAGTGTTTGTACCGAAGTTACTTATGTTTCCAAATATCCCTTTATCCTTGGATAAGAGCTAAATATTGATGGTATCTTTCAGGTAATTAGACACCTTAGATTAAATTTTGTGCATAAATGTAATCATTAAGCAAACAGGCTTATCCAGACTTATTGTGAAACTGACCTAGCTTATACTGCATCTATTTTCAACCTTAGCAACAGCCCTTCGGCCAAGGCAAGGATATAACAGAGGATTCAGTGCTGCCTGCCTGTCATTTCCAGAGCTTGCTTTGCATCCAATGACTCCAAACAGTGTTTTGTCTCAAGTTGATTCAAATGCAATGCAAGACAAATCAGGTTTCTTGTCTTTAAGGTAGAAGTCTGATAATTATTTGGATAGATACAAAAAGTTTCATTCTTGAACAGGTACATTTCAACATCTATAATTTATTTTCTGCTTCATGTGTTCTAGTAGAGTTGGGCTGGGGATTTAGCTCAGTGGTGCTGCACCTGCCTGGCAAGGGCAAGGTACTAAGTTCAATTCCCAATACTAAGAAAAAAAAAAGAACGCACAGATTTAAAACTGATTTTAAAAGGAAGATTAGTGATTTGGGGGAATTTTCCTTACCTTTATGAAAAATATTGTAAAATGTTTTGAAGCAGAATTTAAATCTTTTTATAAATTAGCTCCATTCCTACAGTTGTATGAGCAAATCAAATTTACCTACTTGGAGAGAAATAGAGTTAAGAGTCAGCTATCTTCGGACCAAGCAGTGGTTGTAGAACTAACAGTAACCACATTAATTGGGCATCTTTTATGTTCTCAACATTTGGCTGGGTTATTTTTCAGACATGTTCTCATTTGATCCTGAAAATAACTCCAAAATGTTTTATTATTCCCAGATTTCAGACAAGAACGCTGAGGTGATTCAAAGTTAAGAAACTTGTCTATGCGAGAGAGCCAGCCATGGGCCTTGTGGGCCCTTCACTAGTCTGGGAAGGGTTGGAAAGTCAGAGAAAGTGTCTTCAGAGATTTGTACATCTTTTACTTCCTTATGTACTTAGACTGCATTCAGATGGGGATTAAGAAATGGGGACTTAGGTCATTCTACAAAAGCTCACTGATCTAATTTTCCCCAGCTGACACTGGATGGCAGGTTCAGGATAAGTACACATTATCATTTTGCTGTTATTGAACCAGACCTCTTATGATTTTTATTTTATTTTATTAATATTGATGTTTTTAATAATGCTGGAGATCAAACCAAAGCTTCACACATGCTCAACCACTGTACTAAGTCCCCAACTCTGAGCCAGACCTCTCTAATCAGAATAACCCTGAATTTTCTTCCAGCACTTGTAGCTCCAAGCTAATGTGGGCTTTTTACACCCTTTTTTGCATTCTTTTGCTATTCAGCTGTTTGCTAAACTATGCTTTATTCTCCTCTATGGAAAAGAAAATCAGCTTAGCAGGGCAGTTTCAAGCTGTCTTCTATGCAGAGGATTTAAAACTGATACGAAAAGCCAGCTGTTTTCAACCCACAGATAAGGAGGTTCTTTTGTTCCTTAGTATCAGAAAGTCTCCTAAAAAAGTGAATCTTCAAAAGAAAGGATTGCCTGAAATTATTAAATGTTGTGAGGCACTGCCAGCTGTAATTTTTCCCTTTCTTCTCTCCACAGACTTTCAGAAGGCTTTGGTGCCCTACATTGGCTTAAAGGGGCTTTACTTCATGGGGTATTTGCTGTTTGGCTTAGGGACGGGATTTATAGGTCTCTTTCCAAATGTCTACTCCACCCTGGTCCTGTGTACCTTGTTTGGTATAATGTCCAGCACCCTGTACACCGTCCCCTTTAACCTCATGGCTGAGTACCACCTTGCGGAGGAGAAGGAGGTACGTGCTCATTGAATGCCTGCCCTGGGTAACATCTGGACTCACCTAAAAGCTGTTAGTGAGGTGTGTGTGTGGGCAGAGTAGACTTGACAGGAAAGTACAGAGCAGAGCTGGAAAATAAGAGTTCTTAAAACAGCAGCACTAAAATGTCCACTCAGTCATAGCCAGTGCTGCTGGATCTGCACCTTCTCCTCACTCCAGCCCCTGATGCAACTGGTGAAGTACAGAATGAGAACTGGTACTCCTATTTGTTTGAAGAGGAAAAGGGGAGTCAGTGATGCTGAAAAAACAGTCCACTGTCACACAAAGAAAGGGGGAACCTAGGTCTTCTACAACCTCTGTGCAGTTTTCCCATGTGCTTACAGATTGTCTGGATGCCTGAAGTATGAGTGTCCCCACCCCAAGGACTGGAGAGGTACAGGATAGAATTCTGGGTGTTATAGATGTGGGTAGGAAATTCCTAGGCAACATTGCCTTTGGGAGCCCAGGCTTTAATAAATGTGCAGAGAGGAGCCGTGGGTGGTGGTCATCTCTACCATGCTACCTCAAGGGCTGCTTAGCCTATCTGCCCCATCTACTCCATCCATGTTTTGGAACTCAGACCACTGAGGAAGAGCATAAGTGGTTCCTATAACCAGGTTGAATATTTTTGGTCTAAAATTATTACTTCTTACAGAAATATGCAACTTGTTCTCTATTCAAGTAGTCACATTGACTAGAGCAGTGATATAAAAGCCAATGCAGTACCTTTGAGTTTTATCCATCTCAACACAAAACTGCAAACACACTGAACACATGTCCATGTGGCTGTAATTCTGACCTTCTTTTACATCCTTTAATTTGGCAAACAAAGCAGGGCAGGGATATACTGGGAATTAGGACTTTTCAAACAAGGGTTGCAGCTTGCTGTCCTCATCTTTTGGCAAACATGGTCACCAATATTTCAGTGCAGAATGGTGGTTTTTCTGTTAAAGAGATCATCATCATAAAGAACTGGCCCTCCATGGAGAAGGTTTTATGGCACCAGGCATAAAACACATAAGCTTTAGACTCAGAGAAACTTAGATTCAAATCCTGCTTCCCTTTTTTTGAAGCTTTGTGATGCTGGGGATGTTATTAATTTATTTTTGAAATAGCACTTTTAAAATGAGTTCATTTTAGATGAGTTAATATATTCACATCGCTCAACAATTACAATCACAAACAAAAGTGTGTAAGGTAAAATTGCTCCTTTCATGATTTTGCTACTCCTCCTAGCCATGATGCATTACTACACTTGTTAGTTTTTTATCTTTCCGGTATTTTAAAGTGAAAATCAAATACGAATATATTTTCTTATTTCACTTGCCTATTAATAGGATAACATGCTTTATTCTGCACAAAGCTTATTTTACTTAGTAGTTTAGGAAATCACCATTTAAACTCTTGGGGGCTCAATTTCATCATTAGTCAAATAGAAATAACAACACCCACTATATAAAGTTGTTGAAAAATTAAGCACATTGGGACGTGCTTGGCACAGTGCCTACTTAGCACCTTTCTGATGAGGACTAAAACAATAATAGCTAGTACTATTGTTATCATGGGGATAATGATAATATGTGCATCTAAGGCAGTAGGGAGGATGAAATAAAGTACTGACTGTAAAAGAACATTACACAAAGCCTAACATAAAAGAGACAGCCAAAAAATGGCAATGTTAGTCAATTGAAACCAGATATTTAATATTAATTGTTAATTTATTAATATTAAACATTAATAAGCCATTAAATAATATTGACCATTAATCAAACAACCATTTTTGAACAGGTTGAATTGGCTTTTATGTTGCTTCTCCTGAGTGTTTGAGTGGGTCAGCATCCTTTTGAAAATGTTTGAATCTTTAACACTGAGCAGAAAAAGAATGGGATTTACTCTTTCTTTATTGGGTTCTACCACTTGCATTTATTGACTTCTGAGGAAGAGATAATTTTGCATATATTAATCCTTGAATTTCTTATGTGTTAATGGTGGCTTTTAAGAATTTGGCATAGGTAGGATGGAACTTCCTGGTGGCCGTAAATCAGGCTTAGTGGCCAAAGGAGGCTTGCTGCCTGTTTTTGTACAGTTCGCGACCAAGCTTTTATTTTAAATTTTTAAATGATTGAAAAATATCCCAGAGAAGGATCATATTTTGTGGTACATAAGACCGGTATGCAGTTAGACACTAACGTCGATAATGTTGGGGTGCAGTTTTTATGTAGAGTAGCTGTTTGTGCACTGTGAAAGGAGTTACAGCCAAAGCCTTGTGACCCACAAAGGTGTTTACTATCTGGCTTTGTATAGAAAACATCTTGCCGATCTCAGCCCTCAGTGACAGTCCCTGAGCTCAGAGTGTACTCCTGTGCTTGCCTTGCAGAGGCGGCAGGCTCCAGGATGGAGCTCAGACAGCAGCGGCACGGAACGTGGGAAGGGCGTGGACTGCGCCACACTCACCTGCATGGTACAGCTGGCCCAGATTCTGGTTGGAAGTGGTCTAGGCTTTCTGGTCAACACAGCTGGGAGCGTCATCGTTGTGGTGATCACAGCCTCTACGGTGGCATTAATTGGCTGTTGCTTTGTGGCTGTCTTTGTTAGATATGTGGGTTAGGTCAATAAAGAGACAATGATCCTAACCTCAAACAAGTGAAGCACACAGCAAGGAATCCGTCTTTTCTCTGGTTCGGCACCTTGAGGGTCTAGCCATTGGGTGTCCTACATTGTGATTTCAGCTGTGGTCATCTGCCCACCCCTCCACTAGGCCTGGCTCCCTTGCGAAGAAGACCCATGTTTCAGGCATCGTTTGCCTGGACTCTACCTCTGTGCAAGGGTAAGTATGGCTGGGAGCACGTGCCACCCTGCATCTTCCTCACTGGGTCTCAGTGCAAACACAGAGCAATTCAGGTCTTGACCCCTAAGGAGCAGACTAATTCTATCTGGGATCCTTATATTTATTGTATAATAGGATTTTTTTTTAAAAGTCAGCAGTGCTTACATAATTGGACAGTCACATATTTCACTAAATTCACAAACAAAATATGACTGAGTTTTATACTGATTTATTTATATTAATTTGCTCATAATTAATTTCTATTAATGTATGACATTCTGGGAATCTGCTTGAAACTTTAATGTTCATTTGATTACACAGTAAAATTATTTCTGTGTAGCCTGTTTGTTGTTTCATCCTCTGGAGTTTATATGAAAAATTTTCAATGATCTTCTGTCCCCAAGCTAAGCAGTCTTCCTCTAGCTATATCCCTCCAACTGCCTCCTCTGGGGTGAAGTTTTTAGTAGCTTGGAAGCCAGAATGCTTAACAGGAAATTATTGTGAGTGGTGGACAGCTCATTTTGAATCCTGACTTTGTTCCTCACTGGTGAACCCTTTGGTCCTCCTAAGCTGCACTCACTCATCTATACATTTTGAAGAATAACTCCTGTACCAGAGAGTTGTGATTAATGATCTATAACATAGGGTGCATACCACTATTCTAAATGTTTTGCCTGTGTCAACGAAGCAATTCTGAGAGTTGATGCTCTCACTGATCTCCATTTGCAGATGAAGAAACTAAGGTAGAGAGGTGTTACGTAACTTATCCGAAGCTACACAACTGTAAGTGGCAGAACTGGCTTTTGAATCTAATCTAGGGCCTCTGTCTCTGCTACTTCCTGTAGGGACAGCACCTAGCCTGGTGGCTGGCACTTGGTCAGTGCTCTGTGAATGATAACAAGCTGTGATTAATTTTGGGCTGCTAAAGGCACATCATTCCATCTCCCCACCCCTAGTCTATCCCAGTCTTTTATGAGTGTTTACCTACATGACTGTCAATGTGACTGACTAGTACAGAAATGAAGATTTGTCCACTTGTCTTTAAAAGTTAAAAAAAGTTGTATGATTCCTTTCTTCCCTTATCCTGGAGTCTGGTAGTATATTTACTGCCCCAAGTGAGTTTCTAACTGACTAAACCCTTCAGTGATGTCAAGGGATTTTGAGAAAGGAAATGAGCTGTCTCTAAGGACTGGGAAATTTGGGCATGAGGATGTTGCTTCTAGGTCATTTCCTCTTCTCCTCCCATTCTTCTCTGTGTCCCACACTGTGAGAGTCTTTGTGTATATGTTGGCCTTAGTGTATCCATAGCCACCCACACCTCTCCACTTCCTACCACCCATACAAACAGCCACCCTTACTGTTCCTCACACCCAAGGGTACAGGGACTCAAACGTGCTCTGCTTCTGGAAGAAGGACTCAGGCAAGGCCCCACAAAGGGCCTGTAGATGGACTCAGCATTGTTTGGATAGGAATTCTGGGATCTCAGGTCTGGAACGTAATCTAGAATTCTGGGGAGGCATTCCTTGCCATGTAGGGAGGGGATCAGCTGGAGGAATGGTGCAGAGCAGGATCCTCTCATGATGCTATGCAGGGCACTGGCCCTGGGTGCCCAGGCCTAGGGGCAGACTACCAGGCTAAAACTATTTGCAGAGAGCAGACCATTTGTCATTCTCTGTTGCAGCCTCCTTCCCCTTCCCAATTTATCCCTTAGTCTCAAAAGGCAGCTGCATCCCTGTGCCTCACACTCACTTTATCCTTCCTGCTACTGCTTGGGCTTTCACCTTGCTGCTGCCCAATTGCCTACTTTTTTGTGTAAAGAGCCTGTCTCTGCTGCTACTTGATTATCATACCTCTGTCTGGGCTGGAACATCTGGAATACCCTTGTGGCTGTGGCCACTTTTGGTGTGTGGGGGGCAGGGGACGAGAGGTGGAGGGCAGGAGGCTTACCCTGAAGCGACTGCTTCTTCCTGCCTACTGCTCACCCTCATCTCCTCCAGGATGGGCAGTTCCCTTATCTGATGCCAGGCACCTCAGACTTCTGCTCTTTCTCCCTTCTTTCCAGTTCTCCAGTGTTTTCCAGATTCGGTTGTATTTCCATACCTGTGCTGTTCTTTCAACCTCCAAGCATTGCTTATCTTTTCTCTACATAGGTACTGCTTCTCAATCATATCTCCTCGCATTGTGTTGGAACATTTATTCCCAAATGAAATAATCTCATTAATTTGGAGGGCACATGCAAAGTGACACCCAGCTCCTGGCTTCCCACTCATCATCCATCCTGGAGAAGTGAGATCACAACTGATATAGAAAAGTGATCAGGGAAAACACTTGGTCTGAACCCCAGAGCTTGGAATGATATTGAGGACATGCTTAGAGGGTCAATGTCATACAGTTCTCTGCATTATAAAATAAACAATGCCAAGCCACCTCTCTTACTTCCCCTACCTATCCTTGGCCTCTGCAAAGTTTAGAAATGGAATTATCTCCAGAATTCAGTGTACTTTGTGACTATTTCTCCAAGGACTGCTTTGATGTTTAAAGATTTGGAAAGCAATGCATGGCCAGCTAAGATGTCCTATAGAGTGGACCATCCTATCTGGACCCCTAAGAATTCAAATGTTGTCATCACTGAGCCACAGGACATGGTTTTTTCCACATGTGATGCTATTACATCAAACTTTAAAGTTTCCAACATTGGATAGGCTACTTGGCTGAGAATGGGAGCTAGAGCATGTCTGTCTGTCTGTCAGTCTCTTTTTCTCTTTCTCAAATACACTATGCAAATACTTTGCACATTGAACTCAACAACACTGAGGTTCGAATGAGTGGATACAATCCAATTTAAAAAGAGCCTGACCACCTCTGGGAACCCAAGCATTTGTTCCCAGTACACTGATGATATATTCTGTCTGGCAAAAGATAGTCCTGTTTCCAAACAAATATATGGACATATATATTTTCAATAGATATCCTGGGAAATCTTGGAGGAGAAATTAAAACTACAATGCTTTGCTTCTTTAATGAAGTACCTCATACTCCAACCACAAAACCTGTGAAGTACCTCATATTCCAACCACACACAGACTATCTTCTCACTACCCATACCTTTCTGCTTAAACTGTACTCATATTTCTAGGCCCATGTCAAATACTATGTTGGCCAAGAAGTCTCTTATCCCCCAGCAGTATTGCTTTTTCCTTCCTCTCTATTTTCAAACCACTTTGTTTTAGCTTTACTACAACATTCAATTCATTGTTCCCTATCTTATCTTGTTTGTGTCCCTGATTTTCTGTTCTTCTAAATATCGAATTCAGGAAAGCTCTAGTTCATGTCCTTGATCTCAACACTCAGCACGGGTCTTGGCACACAACAGGCATGCAAAAAGTAATAATTACTTCATTTGATTTGACCACATCCTTTTAAACTCTTATTCTCATTGTAGAGAGAAATTACGGTCTTTGATTTCACCTGCCATGTTCTCAGAAGCCCCCAGTTATGGGCTTGGACAAGCTTGCCCTTATTACAGAGTTTCTTCTTGAAGACTTTACCTCCAACCCGTTCTCTTATTTTGTACTAGTGCCCATTGTAGCAGAAGAACACACTTCAACACACATTTCTAAGAATTCTGAGCTACCCCCACACAGTATCCTATTGTTGAAATTGAAATGTCAAGTTGCTCTGATAAGAATCTCTCAGTAGGAGTCTAAAATTAGGATGTACACAGATATCTTGCTGTGATAGTAGGTAGTTGATTTTTCCCATATTGATTTTTCATGTATTTTGTATTTTGGAGATTTGGGGAGTTTATATTTCAACCTTCATTAGCCCAGTTGCTAGTCAATATTAATATCAATAAGTTTTACCTATGAGAAATGAATAGAGACTAAAATGACTACTTTGAAACAGATGCACTGGTCTGTTTTCTGAAAGTTGAGTTCTCAAGATTTATCAGGATTGAGATCAGGCAGCTTTTGTTTCTGTGGAAAGATCTATAAATACTTAGTAATCGCGCTGTTTCGTGTTGTAGACAGTGGGACAAAGGATGGCAGAGTTGTGGATCTCATATTTTGAGCCTTAAATCTCAGACATTACAGAAAATTTCAACAAAATTACCAAACAATTCTACAGGTCATGAGACCATTCAGACACATTTTCTAATGATTATTTATTTATTAAAACTGCTACACTTGGAGGTGCCTTCATTACCAGTTTCTTAACCCTAAAATCATCAAAGAAAACAGTAGCACCTCTATCAATCCTGGCAGATGGATGGCCGGGTTGATGTTTCATCTCAGTTCCCAGAACAGCCTCAGTAAAGGACTTTGTGATGACCTTAACATCTTAAGCTGCTACATGGACAAGGCTGTCATGGAAAACATGAGTCACTTTTCAGAGACAGCCCCATGGACTGTCTGGAAGTTGGGGAAGAATTCAACATGCATATGGAATGTGCAAAGCATTCTTTAGAATAAAAGGAATTTGGTTAACTGTTACCCTGTGAGAATTCTTATTTCTTACCTTCTCTTGCCAATAGTATGAGCAATAAAGAACCTTGCACTTGAAATTCTGGTGATTCTCTCAGAACAGCCTCTCCAATAGCCTCTTCCCTTTAGGGTGACTTCACATCAGTCTTCCATTCTTTTTCCCATTTCACACCTCTTCTTGAAATAATGGACTCCAGCTTTTAGGAATTTGGTGTGCAGGAAGCCACTGCACACTTCTACAGCATCTCTTAGTCTTCTAAGCACAGTCTAAACCTCACAGGAGAACCCTTCTATTCCCTGGTGCAGAGGCTGAATCAGAGTAGCATCCCAATTTCCAAACAATGAAGATGAGGGGCTGCAGAGGTACCCTTGCTCCCAGGGAGCTTTTCAGGATGCTCCTGAGCCCCTCTCACCTACAGCATATGAACCAAAGTGAACTGTGTCTCCAAGGGAACTGGAGCACCCAGCTTCCAAGATGCTCTTGCTACACATCTTGCTTAGTTCCCAAGTGAGCACCCGAGTCCCTTTAGGGGCAGTGTCCTAAAGACATTTTTCTACTCAGTTTCTCCAATCACACTGCTCACTCCTGGATTAAGGCCGCTCCCAAATAAGTCTCTCTCCTCCACTTGGGACCGACGTTTTGCCCCTGGTAGCATCTGAGCTCAGAGGTGGCAAGCCTGCAGTCAAGCTCAGCGTATGCCTACTTGCCCTGTTGGAAACACAGATGACACCATGGCTCTTCTGGAGGTGCCTCTCCCTTGTCATTTCTCCTGGGACAGACCAACATGGTCAATCCTTTCTCCCAACTCCGAAAAGGGTTCTTTCCTCCAAACTCACTCCTGGGGAAGCAACTCAGTCCTTTGCTCCTCAAGATGGTCTTAGAGGCCAAAGAGCAAAGGAAAGGGTTTTGGGTGGTTTTTCCTGTCTGGATGCAGCTTGAAGGCCTATAAGCTCCATAAACATCACTGGAAAAAATGCTCAATTATCTGTGCATCATTTGGCCGAGACTCACTCCCTGCGGCCCAATTTCTCTACTTTCCTTTGCCTCTCTCTGTTTCTGGGAGTGTCTGTCCTGCCCAGGGTAAATAGCATAAGGAGAGGACACAGGGGTGGGTTTTGGTGGAGAGTCAGGACTGGTGGCTGGGTCCTGTGGGAATGATCTCCACTTTGTCAGCTTCTTCTCTGCCTGATTTTGCAGCCTTTCTTCTCCAGAGAAGGCCCTCCAGCCCACTCACGGGTTTCTCAACTACCTTCCCCCTTCTTTCCTCCTACTTCTTGAAGTGGGGCCCCCCAGGCTCCAGTTATCCACTCTCTCTTTTCCCTCCCCAGGGCTGGGTCCCTTTGCTCTGCTGCATACTCGGTGTCTTCCCGTCAGTAGGCTGAGCTGCTGGGCAGCAGATCATAGCGCCCCCCACTGTAGACCACCACTCCAGGCGGGTAGTAGAGCAGGTCAGGCTCCACAGTTGCGTGGAGCGGCGCCAGAGCCTGCAGCCCGTGATCTTCTGGCTCTGGCTTGGTGGTGGCGGTGAAAGGACGCATGTTGGTAAGCGAGGGCGATGCGAGCCGCCGTAGCAGGTTCTTGAGCGCCTTGCGGAATTCGCGGCGTACGAGACAGTAGAGGATGGGGTTGAGGCAGCTGTTGGAGTGCGCCAGGCACACGGTCACCGGGAACGCGTACACTTGGGACAAGAAGTACTCCTGGCTGAAGGGGACGGCATTGAACTTGATGAGGATGCTCCAGGTGGTGAGGGACTGGTTGGGAAGCCAACACAGGAAAAAGGATAAGACCACGATGGTCACTGATTTAGTGACCTTGGATCGCCTCCGAGCGCTGGCTCCGGTCAAGCCTCCCCCAGCCGCCGCTTCAGTCCCCACCACGCGGCGGTCGGAGATGAAGCGCACCAGCAGCAGGTAGCACAGGCTGATGATACCCAGAGGCAGCACGAAGCCCAGCAGCACCTTCTGCAAGTGGTACAGGCCCAGCCAGAACTGCCTGTCACCACCCAGCAACTTGTCGGGGAAGCGCACCAGGCACAGTTCCTCGCCCATCACCTTGATGGTGGTGGAAAAAATGGCATTGGGCAGGGAGCCCAGGGCGGCCAAAGCCCAGATCAATACACAGAGCGCCTTGGCTGAGAAGCAGCAGCTGTCTTCCAAGTTCTGGCCGCAGCAGTCTCCGCGGCCGCGCCCTCGGGCCCGGTGGCTCCTAAGAGCTGAGGCCACGGAGTGGTAGCGTGCCACACTCATGGCGGTGAGGAAGAAGACGCTGGCGTACATGTTCATGGACGTCACGATGGACACGATCTTGCACATGGCTTTGCCGAAGGGCCATTTGAAGTCCAGAGCGTTCTCCACGGCCCAGAAGGGCAGGGTAAGCACGAACTGAAAGTCCGTCAGCGCCAGGTTGGTGACGAAGAGGTTGATCGAGGACTTGCGCCAGCCTCGTTTGCTCTTCATCAGGTAGAGCACAAGCAGGTTGCCCGCCAGCCCCAGCGCACAAACCACCCAGTACACCGCGCTGATGAGGATCCGCACCCGGGCCTCTGTGTCGGAGCTCTCGGCCCCGCCGCTGCCCCGGGGAGGCCCTGGCGCGGCGCCGTCGGGCAACTCCAGCCCCAGCTCCCACCACAAGTCCTGGAGCTGCAGCGAAGCGTTGCCACTCGTGTTGGCCGCCCCCAGAAGGTCCGGGATCAGTCTGAAGACTTCCGCGAGCTCTTCGCCGCCAGCGGCCTTATTCATGGTGTCTCTCCTGGTTGCAGCAGCCCCCGCACGGGCAGGCACCTCTAGGTCATGTCTGGGGCACGGGGAGTAAGGAAGCAGCTCTCCCCCGGGTGGCGCCCGCCGAGCGCGCGGTGTACGCGGGAGCTTTCAAAGTAGCAGCAAAAGAGAGCGCCTAGGAACTGGGTGCTCCGTGCGCCCCCCCCCCCCCCCGCGGGGAGCCCTCGGGCGCAGTTGAGCTGGGCGCCTGCCCCGGCGCTGAAATGGAGTCCAGCTGCCGGCGTCCAGTGCAGGAGTCTCCAGCCGGAGCGAAGTCTCTGGGCTCCCAGGCACGACCGAGATCGCCCCTCTTTCCCCGCGGTTACGGGGCAGTGGCGCAGAATCCACCTCCTGCTCAGGAGCGTGGCTCGGGACAGCGCTTCCTTCTTTCCAATACCTTTGTCGGTTTCCTCCGCTGCTGCTTGGACGAGGTTTCTGTCCTTTTAGAGAAAAATCGAGATGGGAAGTTGCCCCCACCTCGCTCTCGCAGCCTGGAGGTCTGCAGGGGGCTCAGCCCCTCCGCTCTGAACTCCCAGTGAATCGCCACAGGCGCTTCGCCCAGTTATATTCGCAAGCGCCCACGGAGCCCGGGCGGCGGTCCCCAAGGAGCATGCGTAACCCGGGAGCGAGGAGAGGGGGCGCTTTCCGAGGTGCTGAACCCCGAGGCTCCCGCAGCCACGCAGGAGGGAGGGCCGGGCTGTCGGCACAGGCCCCTGGCAACTCCCTTTGGTCTGGCCAAAGTTTCAGAAGGGAAGGGTATTTATTTTCTTGGCGAGGGCTTGATTTGATTTGGGTTCCCTCTTCCTTCATTACTCTCAAATACTAATACTTTCAGGGTTTTATTTTTCTTTCTTCCTCACCCATTTGATGAAGGATGGTTCCAAAAATCCTTCATCTCCTGACCACTTCCCCTTTAAAAGCAAGAGTGGCCTCCTCATGCCTATTCAGAGGATGGTCACTGATTTAGTAACTTCGGACGGTCTCCAGGATCTATCTCAGGGACAGATCCTCACTGACTACTCAGAGTTCTGCTTCCCCTTTCTTAGTTAATTGACCACTTACTTGGCATCTGGTTGTCAGAATTTCCAAAGGGTCTTCGGTGTCTGAGCTAAACAGAGCGTGTATTCTGTTGCAGACTTCTCATATGTCCAGTCTGGGACTCAATACTCCTGGATGTATGATCATACACTCTTTAACTGGATGCAAACGAAATCAAAGATAATAGGGCCACTATCTCCTCTATTCTCTCTACTATTAATGTCTTTACCAGACGTTTTCAGACCCATGGCAGTAAATTCTAAGGAATCTTACAGAGAACAAGTGGAAGTCATTTTGATTACTTCTTAAGTTGTGGTTTATTTAAATCCAGATCAACTACTCTAGTGTAAATTACACTTTTAAGGATGGACTTATGGAATTTGAAATGTTTTCTTCACTGGCTAAGATTAAATTGAAATAAAAATATTTTAAACATACAGTAATTGTCCTCACAGTTGAGCTCTGAGCTCCTCGCCTGGCTCACAGAGATTAAGAAGAGGTGAATTTTTAAAACAGAGAAAATAAACAACAACAACAAAAATGTAGTAAAAAGAAACACAGTACTCAAAACATAGAAGGGGAAACAGAAACAACCGTGATTCCAACCCTAGAACACATTTCCTTGCAAGAGAACATACTTTTCTAGAGACGCTGGACCTCTGTCTTCCCGCTAGAGGGCGCCGGGGCTTTAGTAAAAACCAAACCAAACTATGGCCTCTGATCAATTCTTATCTGAAAATGAGTCCTGCTGCGTTATTTCTCCCGAGCTCACTTTGACTTTCAGGGTTACATTTCCCTTTTTAAAAGTCGAATCAAATTTTTATCTCTTTTGTTGAGTTTATATTTCACCGTGATATTGAAAATCAGCGAAGCCTAGGGCACACGCTGAAAGCCCTCTGCTTGGAAGTTTTGCTGTGTTCACACTTAAGGCTTCTCACACAGGCCTCACCACACCCCCCCCCCCATCTCTGTGCTTCTAGTCTCACCTGGCAACACATCTGCTCGATCTGCTCCAAATACACGAAGTGTTCACACTTCACGAAGAATATTGCAGGACCTTTGTTCAATTGGACTCACACTCATTGGCCATTTACTCTTAGCTGGGCACTGAGCTGGGCTGACAGAAACATTAGGACAAAGTCTTCTATTCTACTCTCTGTGGAACTCTTAATCTCAATGAGTGTGTAATTTAGTAATGTCTCCAACTGTATTTTTGTTTAGTCTTGTGCATGACTAAGTTATCTAGAATGTAATGATATGTGTCAGATGCATGAACAATAATTTTACCTCTTTGATTTCCCTTCTATTTTCAAGGAGTGGGTGGATAATAAGCAGTTATAATGTTCTTTGATGGGCTGTTCCAGTTTTCACTTTTTAAATTTCAAGGCTACTTTATACATTTTGTATTTGAATAGACCATAAAAGGGGAAAAGTTCAGTTTTTATGTTACATAGTCTATTTCTCTGTCCCTTTTCCCCCTGAAATTAAGATGGAGTGTGATGGAGATCTGGAGAAAATTCTTGTTAGCAACCAGAAGCCCTTTCTTCTTCATACTGAAATCTTTTCCTGGACTCCTTTGTCTTTCTGAAGCCACATGGGGCATGGGAATTCATGAGTGAGGCCAGAGTAAAAGCACACTGAAGCATATAACTTCTGGGAGCCCATAATTATAGAATGTAGTAAATAATTAGCTTTAGCCCTGGTGTTTTGCAGAGGAGGCCTGGAGATACAAAGAGATCTACTCAGGATCTCACTGCTGGGAAACTGACACACCAGATCTAACTCATAATTCTCTTGACTTTTAGGTAACATCTTTTGGTCCATTCTTCACTTCCCAACTTGGATCTAACTCTTCCATACCTTTCAACAGTGCTAAGTAATTACCCCTCAAGCATGTCTGCATCCTAATCCCTGGCCTCTTTGATGTCACTTTATATAGCCAATGGGACCTTGGAGATGATATTAAATCAAAGGTTTTGATATGAGGAAGATTGCCATGGGATAGGCAAATGGACCCAATATATTCGCAAGAGTCCATAGATTCAGGTAGGAAAAGTCAGTGTCAGAAGAGAAGGCAGTGTGATAACTGCAGTAGAGGTTGAGGTAATGCTCTTTGAAGATGGAGGTAGGGATCACAAACCAAAAGTACAAGACACCACCAGAATCTGAAAAGAGCCAGGAGAAGGATTCTCCCCTAGATCTCTAAATAGAAACTGTCCTGATGACACCTTGATTTCGTGCTAGTGAAACTGATCTGGGACCTCTGATCCCTAGAATTGTAAGACAATATATTTGTGGCCTTATATAAAGCCATTATATTTGTGGCAATTTGTTACAGCAGCAATAGAAACCAGTGTAAGATGTACACACTTGAATATTATATAACCAGAAATTGAGAAATTCTGAATTAAACCTTAGTTGATATTAACGTATCATTCACTCATCCAACAAATATTTATCAAATACCAACTTTATAATAGGTACTTGCTATGAACTAGAAATTTAGTGATAAATGCAACAATGGCCTTGTGTTCTAATAAGTGAGACTAACATTTAGGAGCTGTATGATTATAATTATAAGAAGGAAAACAATAAAATAGGAAGTTATAACCATCTAAAAGGATATAATTTTTAATTCTTTCTGAGCATACTTATTAAACAAGAATCATGTCTTTTCAAATTAAAGATTTAAAAGATCAGTTTGATTTATACAATTATCATATGCATATTTAATTAGAATTTTCTCCCTAGAAAACTGTTAATAAATGATGTGTCTTATAAACTGTAGTAACTTGGAAGAAAGGAAATTCAGTAAACAGACAAAGACAAAAGAAAGAGGAGAAAGAAGAGCATTCTGGGCAGAAGGTACATAATGAGTGAAAATATCAGGCAGGCAGGAACAAGAATCTTTGCAGGATGGGAATCAGAATAAGTCCAGGATGTAACACTGTGAGTGAAAAAACAGCTAGATAGGACACAGGCAGTAAATTATGTCTCACCAAAAACTTTTAATATTTAAATTTAGAGCAATGGTAGACTTTTTAAGCAGGGAGCAAAAAGATCAGTTTTGTATCTTCAACTATCACCCTAGTTGTCACATGGTGAGTGAACTTGTAGGGGCAAAGATGAATGTAGATTAAATCAGTGTCTTTTTAGTCACTTTCCTCTTCACTGAGACACAATACCCAGCATGCACAAATTGAAGGAGGAGACATTTATTTAGCACATTTTACAGTCCACAGTCAGCTGGCTCCAAGGCAGAAACAGCACAGCAGAGGCACATATAGGCGAAAACTGCTTGCATCCTGGTAGGCAAGGAGAGAGAGAGAAGGAAGGAGCCAGTGAGGGAAATATATCTTCCAGGTCACCCCCAGTGACCTGCCTCTTCTGACCAGACCCCACCTCCTAATGGCTGGTCAAGTATATCTCCCCCATGATTTAATCACCTTTTGAAAGCCATACCTATGGGCTAATGAGGTTTTTGGGATGATCTTGATCCATACCATAGCATTCTATCTGTAGCATCTATGAAACTCATGCACATTTCTTTATGCAAATGTATTTAGTCCAACTCCAGGAGTCATGGTTCTGGTTTATATCTATACATCCACCTCAGAGCCTAATGTGTCCATAGGTGGGGCTTTTGGAAAGCGATTGAATTATGGGGGCAATGTAACTGAGTTGCTATTAAGAGCTGGGAACTGGATTAGAGGTGAGGCACTGGGGGCGGGACCTGGAAGGGTGTATCTCCCTCCCTGGCTCCTCCTTTCTTTCCCTGCTTCCTGGCCTCCATGATGCCAGCAGTTTTTCTTCCTCTGTGCCTCTCTGCCATGTTGTTCTACCTTGGAGCCAGGTAACTGTAGACAGTAAATGTGATCCCAACTAAACTTTTCCTCCCTTCCACTGTGGGTGTTGGATATTTTGTTTCAGCAACAAGAAAGTGACTAGAACACATTTGGTACCAGAGGAGTGGGTTAAGGTTAGAGATAGCATTAGTGTTGGCTGTAAGTACACAAGTATAGGCCTGAGTGGTGCACGGATACACTTAGGGAAATGGATAGTATTGGGGTTCAGGGACTCAAGTATTGGGGTGTGTGGTACCCAGGTAGGCTTAGGATTGGGATGAGGGTTAGGGTTAGGGATAGTATTGGTTACAAGTACCTGAGTATTGGGGTTTGGGGTACACAGGTAGGGGTAGGGTTAATGATGGGGGTAGTATTGAGGTGCAAATGTGTGAATATTGGAATGAAGGGTACCTGGATAAGGTTAGAGCTGGGGTTAGAGTAAGGGATAGAGTTTATTTGGGTGTGCAAGTACCTGAGTATTGGAGTGTAGGGTTCCCAGATAGGGTTAGGGTTACAGTGAGGGTTAGATTTAGAGGTAGGCATAGTGATAGTGTTGGGCTGAAAGTATCCAGGTATAGGGATGTGAGTTACCTGGATAGGGTTAGGAAAAGTCATAGTGTTGTGGTACAAGTATCCAAGGATGGGAATGCAAGGTATCATAGGATTAACATTTGGGTTAGGGTATGAGTAGT